GGGTTCTCACAACTTCAACCATCCAACTTGAATTCTACAAATAATATCCACATCTATTTCACCATCACTTTGAATAACAGACCTAAGATATCTAAAACGTATACTCTTTTTAATAACTTAATCGTCCAAAGTCATAATCCTCCACTAGATCTATTAATGCTATAATTATATTCCATGCATTTGATTTTAAATCAACTCAAATAAAAACTTTTAGACTCTAAGGTTAACCTTCATAATTCAAGTTTTTCTTCAACTCCCTCTTTAATCTTATCAACAAGAAGACTGTCATTAACAAAAAGTATAGATCAAGGTACATCCTCTTGCAAATGTCTGGTAAGAACATCAATGATTAAAGCTAAAATATATGAGTTTAAAGCTAATCCATGATGTAATCAAATTGAAATAAAAAAATACTTAGCCAAACCACCATGTGTTTGAACACAAGTAATAACTTATATATATATCCATAATGACTTGAATATAAGTTGTGGTCGATACAGGGTATTGTTGACGAATGCGTATTGCAATGTCCTCTTCCTGATTTGTGTAGCCAGTGACCTATCTATTGGGAGTTTACTTTCTTTAAAGAATTCGATAAAAAGTTTTCTCCAATCATGTTCTTCTTCGATGTTCAAGAAATACCACAATGATTCTAAACATTTGCTAGATCCGCGTCTTCTTTTGGTTGCTTGGTATTCATCTGGCTGATTTTCAAGAGTAATTGGTTGGGGAGATTGAGGATCAACCGAAGTTGCATCCTGTTGGCTTGAATTTGGTATTCCCTCTGCCTGCGGGAATTGCAAGATTGTTGACTATAAGGCCTATCGGTTATAGACTCCAATCAATATAGGCTCCTCATCATCCACATTTGTTATTTCCTTGGCTAATTTGGCAAGGCAATCTGCTTTGTTGTTCTGACCTCGAGAAACTCGAGCTATCTTAACATCGACACTCATTTTAGAAGCTCGAGAGCTCATTGGCAGTAATAGGCCAGCTCAAGCTTGCAAATTTTGTAGACGCCCAAAAACTGATTTATCACAAGTTAAGAGTCGCTGAAGATTTGGAGGTTTTGGATTCTGACTGAAATTGCAATATTCAAACATGTTTTTATTGCTTTGTATTCATCCTCATTATTTATTCAGAGCTCAGTCAAACGGAATGAAAATCTCATTATGCATCCTTTAAGTGCTATAAAAATGAGATTGATACCAACTCGAGCCTTTGCCAAATTTGGAGGTTGGATAATTTTAATCAACGAAGCTCCGTCAAAGTACATCTCTCAGACTTATGATTTCTCCTTCTCCTAGACATGCATGATTTGTTCATCAGGAAAATCATCGTTGAGCGGAGAGTCTGCAGGGATAGGATGAGTGGCAAGAAAATTCGCTATGGCTTGTCCCTTCACTGCCTTCCATGGCATGTACATGATATCAAATTACCGTAATATCACTGCCCACCTGGCTAGGCTACCTGTCAATGGTGGACTTGTCATCAAGAACTTTAACGAATCGATCTTTGATATCAATATGATTTTATGAGAGAGCATGTAGTGGTAGAGTTTCTGAACTGCAAAAATCAATGCCAAATAATGCTTCTCAATTAGAGAATAGCGGATCTCTATTCTGATCAACCTCTGACAAATGTAGTATAGTGCATTCTTATTGCCCTCTTCAATGTGTTGAGCCAATAATACTCCGAGGGACTCTTCCACTCTGTAGTAGACAAGATAAGAAACTTACCAGGAATTGGCGCTACGAGAATAGAAGAATTTAACAAGTATCTTTTGATATTATTAAAAGCTTCCTGGTATTCCATTTGAAGTTGACATCTTTCTTCATCAGTTTGAAAAATGGCTGGCACCTATCTGACAGATTCGATATAAATCACCGAATGAAAGCTAGCCGCCTAACAACGAGCGGACCTGTAGAAGACTATTTGGCGGTGGCATCCTCATAATTGCCTTGATTTTATTAGGGTAGATCTCACGAATGAAATACCCCAAAAACTTCCTAGATGAGACACCGAAAGCAAATTTGAGAGGGTTCAACATTAGATCATACTTATTGATCCTTTCAAATACAGTCCTCAAGTCATCTAAGTGATATTTTCAGTCCATGCTCTTAACGACAAGGTCATCCACGTAGCATTCGACCTTCTGATGAATCCGTTCATTGAAGATGCACGTCATCGCCCGTTGGTAGGTGGCACTAGCATTTTGCAGGCTGGAAGGAATGATCATGTAGCATAATATGTTGATGGTCATTCTAAGCAATGTGTGCTTTTTATCTTCATGCAGCATCTCGATTTGATTGTAACTCGACGATCCGTCCATAAATGAGAACATATCATAGTTTGACGTGTTATCCACCAAGAGTTCTGACATTGGGAGCAGAAATTTGTCTTTTGGACACACCTTGTTGAGGTCCCTTAAATTGATACTTACACGGATCTGACTGTTCTTCTTAATAGAGACAATGTTGGTGATCCAATCGGCATATTTTTCTTCTCAGATAAAGCCTGCATCTATGAGCTTCTTTTTTTTGCAATCACATGTTCTTCAATCTCCAATCTTATTCTCCTTATAGCTTGTTTAATAGGCGATGCATCTGGCTTAATGGATAACTTGTGAGTTGCTACGTCAGGGGATAAGCCGAGCATCTCATATGTTTAGGTAAAGCAATCCCTGAATTCATAGATAAACTCCTTCATTTTTTCTACTTGCTCTTCTGGTAAAAGAGCATTGATGAAGGTTGGGCGAGGGTACTCTTCAAACCTCAAGTTGACTTCTTTCAGTTCATTCATAGTAGCTGCATGTCCATCATCTTCAAGCTCTTCTGGTGCAGGTTTGGTTTTTACGAGCTGATCATCATAGATCTCCTCATAGCCACTGTTATCGGATTCAACTTTCTCGCATGTGATTGCTTGGAAAATCTCTTTTTGATGGTACTACTTCTGCACAACGAATCTGAGACCTCTTCTTACAAGAATGTCTTTTTGCAATGCATGAGGATTTCTTCAATACCAAATACTTAGGTGGAGACGAGCTTATCGTCTATTGGCATTGATATGAGCTTGTTTTTATAGCATTCTTCGAATATTTCAGGGGCAATATCTAAGCATTCTCGTAGGCATTATCTCTCTAGAATCAGTAAGCTCGATAAACCAGACGAAGCTTTCATCTTCACATTCCCCAACTTTATAGAGTAAACTACCTCTAACGTCATGCACCTCTCGAGGGATGATTTCCTTGAAATGTCGCGGGGGGAAGATATGTGAACACGAATATCCTATTTGATATTGACAAGCTACCTATTCTGCTTGAAAATACATACTGCACCTTACTCGTGTAGGTAGACTCATAGTCATAGTTAGAATCGGGATATTCCTCCTTCGTCTTGGATGACATCATCTTCTTCTATGTCACTCCCTAGGTGAGGCACAACTTTTCTTTGTTTAGAAGTGGTCGTTGCTTTGGGAAGAATCGGCACTACCTTCTTTCTCTCCACTTCTCTCAACTTCTTATTTTGGCTTCTTTGAAGCCTTTAAGTTTGATGTCTTTGCATCAAGAGAGCTCGACGGCTTTGGCTCTTTTGGAATGAAGTATTTTGCATCTTCGTAGATTTTTACTTAGTGGACTGCAAAAGGGTTGGATATCATTCGAGATCTTAAACTCTTCTCCATCCCTAAGGTACTTTATACATTGATACAGGGTTGACGGGACAATGTTATACTCATGCAACCAAGGGTGACCCAAAAGTGCCTTTAACGAGATGTCCACGTCAATCACAAGGAACTTGGCTTCTGTATAAAGTTCTATGAACACAAGAGGAAATACAAATGACCCCATAATCTTCTGTCCCTTCTCGTTGAAGTCATATACCATCAACTTATCTTGTCCAGGATGCTGCACATTAAGGCACAAAGATCTCAGTGCTTTCAAGATTATGAGATTTATGGAGGACCCAAAATTGATCAGGATTCGACTAATCATAATATCGTCGCTCTCTGCAGTGACGTAAAGAGGGCGGTTGTGATCTACCATTCCGAGCATCATGTCGTCTTTAGCGAAGGTGATGATCGGTTCATTCCGGGTTTGTAGAACCCCCGTCATACGATGCTCGGCAAACTATGCTTCGTATCTTCTGGGGTCTTTGAGAGTTTGAATCAAAGTTTCCCGAAGATCTTTGGACATTACGAGAGCGTCATATATGCTTAGTTGCATCTGAATTTTTCTTAGGTGGAATAAGATATTGTAATTTATCCCTTTTGTTGAAGTGTCCTTCCTCTTAAGTCCTTGGGGATAATGTTGTCATTCACAATTATCTACTCCTTTTTTATCTTTATTGGAGACCCCCTTCTTCGACGAAGAAGGCAGCACCTTACCACTCCTTAACTGCACTTGGGCCACTTCATCTGGATCAAACTCATTTAGTAAGGGATTCTCTCTAGAGTCCGCCATTATTGCTTCAAGAGATTCATCTGCTAATTCAGAATCTCCACCCAGAAACACAAGCTCCATTTGCGATGCTATGTCGGGGACTGATTCACCTTCATTTGGAAAATACATATCCTCCTTTGAACTATAGTCCATCGGTGATACCATCAGACAGGATTCAAAAGCTACCTCCTTGGCATTTTTTTCATTGACAGGGAAAGCTTTAGAGAATTAATGAATGTTTAGATGTCTCAAGAAAAAAGAAAAATTGATAAATTGAAGATGGCTAGGGTCTAAGAAAACTGTTATGTGGAAAAGATATTAACCCTTCTATAGAGAAAAAACAAACAATAAGCTCAACTTAAGGGCAAAGGTATCCCTGAATAATGCATAAAAAAACAAAGTATAGCCCTATTCCTCATACAAAAATAACATTGATCACCATATAGCTATTATTGAAGCTTTGTCCAGCAAAATTATCATACAACAACTTCAGTATGGTAAAACCTGACATATGAGGAGAAACAAATTCCTGCTTCCTATAAATTTGTCATGTTGCTTCAATTAGATGGTATCATATGTAAAATATTAGAAATTAAATGCTGCAAAAGGTACCTGAAGACCAGCATGACCATCATCTACTGCATTGAGAGCAGATTTCAGAACCCTTATAGCGGTTGGACTGTTTCTTAAGATTTCCCTACACCATTTCACTGTCTCCAATTCCAGATTCTCAAGCTGTAGAAGAAACAACTAAACAGTGGTAAGATAGAGTTATTTGCATAGCATAGACATGTATACGCTTCTTCAAATCCAGGACATGACGAGAATCAGCGGGTAAAGGAGAAATTTCAATGAAAATCCTGATGGTGCATTTCAAATTTGACTGCCATAAGAAATGGACAACCATTTCTGCTGCTGCGCAAATTGCAATAAATTCTATGGTCTCAGATTGTCATTGAAGACTTGATCTGCTACTTTGTTATTAGCATTAATGCCATCCATAATGCCCGGAAAAGTTTAAGGAATCGATTGATTTAAAGGCACATTAATTCAGTTTTTACAAACATCCTGCTTTAAATTTCCATTTCATTTTTCAAATGAAGACACATGAAGCCCGTATAGGGGAGAGCTTGGGAATTTTTCTTCTGCATACTTTGTTCTATTTGAAAAAAAAAAATAGAAAGATGTTTGTCTAGTTAAGAAAATAAAGTCATTGCCACGACGTACATTTGCAGTAACTTGATCAAGCCCAGATAAAAGTATGCAATGGAAAACAATAGAGGCAGAGATTTTGGCAACAAAAATGCTTACCTTGACTACAGCATTGACAAGTCCCATCTTCTCAGCTTCGTAAGCATTGTAAAAGCGTGATAAGAACCACATTTCTTTTGCTTTCTTAGGCCCTACCTGTTTCCATGTATCCATTATCATACAATATGGACAATCAATGTAAATAGACAAACTTACAAAAGTAGCTATTCCAGTAACTAAGTCTTAGTAGGTCGGCCAAAAGGACAAAAGTTGAGATTTGCTGCCTCTCATTTCTTCCTAAAATAATTATTCTTGGTAGCATCCATGTCTTTCTTTATTTATAGCTTTGTTGTGAAGCAAAATAAGAAATACTATTTTGATTTCTGAGTCAAATTAATGAGAAATCTTATTTCTTCAAACTATCTTCAACCTTGACAATGTGCATTTACCGGCGTGACTCTGCTTTTAAGTTTTTGGTTTTCTCCTCTCTACATTACTCCTAATGCATGATTTTTTTTGTTTAGAATAGCATGGAGAGCGTTGAGTTGTTATAGTTACTTTTTTTCCTCTACTATTTATAAATTAAATGACAGTCTCTGCTCTGGATAACTTTGATTCTAGGGAACTAGTGTCCTCAAGATTTGTTAACATGAACTTACGTTATAGACGAATTTTTTTTAAAATTAAATGATGTTTCATTTGAGTTCCAAATTTCTTGCACTTAACTTTTGAAAAGTGTATTTGATTTATATATAAAAAAAAATTTAAGACTTTGTTCGGGACAGTTTTCTTACTGCTTCTTAAAGCAACTTTCTGGTATAAAAATTTTATTTGTTGTAATAGAAAGCTGCTTTAAGAAGCAATAAGAAAGCCGTCCCAAACAAAGCCTAAGACTCTAACTGTGTATCATCACTATGGTCTCACAAGCATATTAACTGCTTAAGGAAAGCTGGTATTTTTACAGGAAAGTATAATAATTCATAAAGATAAAGCACAACAAAAGCACAGCTTCAACATATTTCTATCAACTGTTGTCTAAATAATATAAACTATCCCCCCAAGATGCACCACACTAACTATAATCTAAACTTACCAAGCGAGACATGATTGACGATCCATAGCCTGCATCAAAACTACCCACCTGCACGTGAAAAATATCAGAACCAAAATAGGATGAGACTTTAGCCTGCAGTTTCAGATCATTTATGAAAAATTAAGAAACCAACTGCAAAAGATGGAATTTTCCAGTAATGTCTGAATTCATAAAACTTAAAACCATCATCCTAAAAAATAAATAAATAATAGAAAAAATGAAGGGGCTAAGGTTCAATCAATAGGAAAATATGATTTTCATAGCTACAGCAACAATAAAAAAGATGAAAAGGTTCTTTGGTTTGGCATCCAATCTTTGGTGCATATTTGTATAAACCATGGCAAGGCCAGGGGATCGTATGCCAGATGGTGCAAATAGTCTGGTGAATGGGAAGCCTTCATGCAAAAGAAGATAGAGGATTGACATGGTGCAACTAGTATGGTGCATGGGAAGCCTTCATGCAAAGAAAATAAAGGATTAACTGACAAAAATTACTAGTTACACGAACAATGATTTCTTTAAATGAAAACAAAAAATAATAGTTTAAGCATAATTGAAATTGAAGTGATTATAAATATTCAATAATTGCAAAAAGAATTTGGAAATAAATAAAGTGAGAAGAGGAGTTAATTTCAACAAAATCAGATTTCCGAAATGTCACTTTTTAACCAAAATCAAAACCAACTAATAAGAAAATATATAGGGGAAATAAACAATAAACGAAATTATAAAAGTAAAGAAAAGTAAGCTACAAGTAGGTAGTCACACTTGCCCCATACTTGAAGGAATCACAAATCCATCTAACACTCACAAGATTAATCATATGCCCACTAAAACATGCAATCAAAACACACACAAGAGGCTCAAACACACGATCACAAGCAATAACCTTATCAAATAAGGATAATAGGCAAAATATCTCTACTCCCGACAATCAAATAGGCATACTAACTACCATAAATTAATTAAGCGAGCATTAAATTCATGAATTATGTATGCTATATACTAATTCTATTAATATTGAAGAAAGATGCTTTTCATCTTTTTTTCCAAAACAATGGCTTAGAAATTAGAAGAAGATTATTATTATTTGCTTTTTCCCTATCAATAGGTAAGGAAAATCTCTCCCATCCAATAGATTTTGACCATTGAGGTACAACAACAACAACAACAACATCAAGCCTTTGTCCCACTAAGTGGGGTTGGCTACATGAATCCTTTTTCGTCATTGTGTATGGTTAAAAGTCAAATTCTCATTTAAATCTAATAAAGGAAGATCATTTCTAATATTTTCTAACCAAGTCTTTTTAGGTCTACCTCTACCTTTCTCAACAAAAGTCAAATCTAATACCTCAACTTTCCTAACCTGGTCATCGGAAGGCCTCCGTTTAATGTGACCAAACCATCTAAGGTGACTCTCTCTAATCTTATCTTCCACTGGAGTTACTCCAACCTTTTCACATATATGATCATTTCGTATCCTATCTCTAAGGGTCAAGTGTCATGACCCGGCCCGGTTAGCTCGCAAGTATGAGGCGGGAACGAAAGTCAGACAGTAGGAATTAATAAAAACATTCACATTACTTTATTAACATGTCTCCAAACATACATAAAAATCCTCAACATAATGAAAGAGCCGCTAAAGAACTTAAAAATAAAATTTTTCATTTCATTCATAAACCAAAATCAACACATACATGAAGATTCATTACAAAAAGGAGGTGTTCAAAACAGAACTAACTATCAAAGTTATCCTATACAATCACTTATACCAAAACATCAAAAACTCAAAAAAAAACCTGTCGCCCGTCATCTCCCCACGACGGTACGTGAAGGGAGGTCTGTCCGTCATTATCCTTTACCAGATCTTCCTGAAAAGTGTCCCACAACATAGGTGAGTCACAACTCAATAGGTGTAAATGGCATTCAAATAAATTTAGGTATAAGGGAAGAAACTACAATATATTTTTATATCTCAATAAAAGAATAATCAACATATTACAACATTTGTCTAAGGTGATACATGTCTTTACTTCAACCTTTTAGTTCTCATTAATTTCATAATCTTTCAATTCTTCCTCTTTAATCATTCATGCCTAAAATAAAACTTCATATGCATATAACATAAAGATGCAATATTCATAATATCATAATAATTAACATCCGTTTCGGAAGTATCATTTGTACTGATCATGTATATAAAATTGACCATTCCTTTACCATTTGGTTCAAAAGAACCTCCTTTATCATTTGGCTCAAAAGAGACCCATTACCATTGCTCAAAAAAGCCTCTATATCATTTGATACTTCCGCATCAACATGCACATGCACATAATTCTTACATATTCATATGATAGGCTTATGTAAACTATTCAAGTATTTTTATATGGAAATACATGTTTGCTATGCTCATATGTATATTTGCATATAAAAAGAAAACATGTGTAGTACATGTAAAGAAAGAAGCATGTGATTCATCATTGAGTTCTAATATTGCATGAAAAGGATTTTACTTTTATATCAAGTGATCATGAGCTTATATAAAGAAACATGCTAGTTATAATGATATCATAAAGAGCATAAAAAAGAATGTCATTTCTATGTAATTGCATGCAAAGAGCTTTTCTAAATTTAAAAGAAGTCCATTTTACCTACCTCACCACAATGCGATCCGTCAAAAGTCCTTACGCCCCTTTCCTCTTACCAATAAAAATCTACATTTTTCATGAAATCAACTCATATTTGGGTTTAAAAACATCCCCTTACCCTTCCCTAAACTTATCTCAAAGAAAACTTGAGTTTTTTCTAAGGAATGAAAGTTAGGGTTTTGAGAAAACTTAAGTTTGCTTTGAGATAAGTTTAGGAAAGGGTAAAAGGATGTTTTTAAACCCAAATATGAATTGATTTCATTAAAAATGTAGATTTTGATTGCGTAAGAGGAAAGGGGCATAAAGACTTTTGACGGATCGTATTGTGGTGAGGTAGGTGAAATTAACTTCTTTTAAATTTAGAAAAGATTTTTATATGCAATTATATAGAAATAACATTCTTTTTTATGCTCTTTATAATATCATTATGACTAGCGTGTTTTTTTATATAAGTTTATGATCATTTGATATAAAAGTAAAGTACTTTTCATGCAATATTATAATTCAATGATGAATCTCATACTTCTTTCTTTACATGTACTACACATGTCTTCTCTTTACATGCAAATATACATATGAGCATAGAAAATATGTATTTCCATATGAAAACATACACTTGAATAGTTTACATAAGCCTCTTATAAATATGTAAGAATTATGTGTATGTGCATGTTGACGCGGAAGTATCAAATGGTAAATGGGATCTTTTGAGCAATGGTAATGGGGCTCTTTTAAGCCAAATGGTAAAGGGGGTTCTTTTGAATCAAATCGTAAAAAAATGGCCAATTTTATGTACCTGATCAGTATAAATGATATTTCTGAGATGGGTGTTAATTATTTTGATATTATGAACATTGCATCTTTATGTTATATGCATATGAGATTTTTATTTGAGGCATGAATGATTAAAGAGGAATAATTAAAAGATTATGAAATGAATGAAAACTTAAATGTTGAAGTAAAGACATGTATCATCTTCGACAAATGTTATAATATGTTGATTATTCTTTTATTGAGATATAAAAACGTTGTAGTTTCTTCCCTTGTACCTATATTTATTTGAATGTCATTTACACCTAATGAGTTCTGACTCGCCCACATTGTGGGACACTTTTTAAGAGGATCTAGTAAAGGATAATGGCGGATAGACCTCCCTCACGTACCGTCATAGGGAGATGACGGACAGTTGGTTCCTTGTTGAGTTTTTGATGTTTTCGTATAAATGGTTGTATAGGATAACCTTGATAATTAGTTATGTTTTGAACACCTCCTTTTTGTAATGAATCTTCATGTATGTGTTGATTTTGGTTTATGAATGAAATGAAAATTTTTACTTGGAGTTCTTTAGTGGCTCTTTCATTATGTTGATGATGTTTTATGTATGTTTGGAGACATGTTAATAAAGTAATGTGAAGGTTTTTATTAATTTCTATAGTCCGACTTTTGTTCCCGCCTCGCACTTGCGAGCTAATCGGGCCGAGTCGTGACATCAAGCCACTCATCTACCTTGCGAGCTAATCGGGCCGAGTCGTGACATCAAGCCACTCATCTACCTAAGTATCATCATCTCTGCAACACTTAACTTAGTATTATAAACTATTGGATTAGAATGTAAATAAAATTTTGTAATCATCTAACTAGGCATCAATCCCGAGAAAAAAATAAATATTAAAAAAATTATTGCAAAAAACAACAATTCTAAACATTTTGCTAAAAAATCAGATCTTATTCCAATTATTCTTATTATTCACTTGAGTAACATTTTAGGAGAAAACAAATTTTGTAGTTACCCATTTTAGTCAGTCAAAATTAAAAAAGTCAGTGTGCTTGTCCAACAATGACATAATGCTTTTAAAAGCAAATGAAATTTGGCCCTCAACAGGTTTCAATATGGAAGATAAAATTTAACAACAATGATTTAAATGCTGCAACCTCAAAGTTCCAAATAAATTGGAAGGAAAATGGATTGAAAAATCTCCGGCCCATATTAATCATAAAAATCACTCATCTATTCATATTTTATGAAATTAGGAAACCCAAGTAGGGGGAGGACCCCTCCAACCCCTCAATGAGCATGACTGATGGAATTGAGATTTGAGTCAACAATATATCCTGATTGATCAACACAATCAGATTCCACACATAATCAACATACAATACATGTGGATAAAGCACTAGGAAAATTTGAGTAAAGTCATGATATCTTCTATATTTCATAATTAAATTGTATCTAAATAAATTTATCAACAACAACATCAAGCTTTTATCCCACTATATGGGGTTGGCTACATGAATCATTTTTCTCCATTGTGTCCTATTAGGAGTCAAATTCTCATTTAATTCTAATAAAGAAAGGTCATTTCTAATATTTTCAAACAAAGTTTTTTTAGGTCTACCTCTACCTTTCTTAACATAAGCCAAATATAATACATCTAATTTCCTAACCGGGTCATCAGAAGGCCGCCGTTTTATGTGACCAAATTAACTAAGGCGGCTCTCTCTAATCTTATCTTCCACTAGAGTTACTCCAAACCTTTTCACGTATATGCTCATTTCGTATTTTTTCTCTAAGAGTAAAGCCACTCGTCCACCTAAGCATCCTCATCTCTACAAAACTTAACTTAATAATATGCTTCTCTTTTAATGGCCAACATTCTACACCATAAAGTATTGCAGGTCTCACCACCTTATAGAATTTTCCCTTATGTTTGAGGGGGACTTTTCTATCACATAACAAACACGAAGCATTACTTCACTTCAACCATCCAACTTGAATTCTACTAATAATATCCCCATCTAAATAAATTTATCAGTTCACACAAAAAAGGTATAATGTTGTTCTAGCATAAAAACCTTTCCAAATAATCTTAAAGCCAACAAAGCCCAACAAAGGGACATAATCTATACCTTCCTACAATAATAAAAAAATTATATGCGGCTTAGTAATGTTAACGTAAGGACCTTCTAAGATAATAGTGTTTCTCTGAGAAAATACAGTAGACAAAACTTAAATTTCAAAAGAAACATTAAAACCCCTCCAAATATGCAGCAACAGTTTTATCCGTTGTGCTTCTCTAAGCAGAGAGAAGAGTGAGTCAACCTCATACAAGAAAACCTAGGGAAATAATTTCACAATGAGATCAGCAAAGCTAAGGATAGCAATACTAAGACAAAGCATAATGAAAATGCTAAGAGTTTATACTATTCTAAAAAAAATGAAGGAAAGCAACAAGGAGCAAAATAAGTCCTCAAGAGGTCAAAAAAACCTTGGCTCCAGTCTGACCAAAAATGGCATTTTCAGCTGCAATTGTTAAATCGCAAACCATATGCAATACGTGCCCCCCACCAACAGCATAACCTGCAACCTAAGATAAATACAATAAATTACACTGACCCTGTGATACAAAGTTATGTTTTACTTCGGATTGATATGAAAAGTATACCATAGCTATCACTGGCTTAGGGAGACGCCGGATTTGTACCTAGTTAGAGAACAAAAAAGGCAAAAAATTAAGTAAACATAATTAAGTAGTGTGAGGACTTTTGTTTAAATTGAAAAAATTCAAGCATAAAACATGTTAAGGCCTTCATAACCACGCACAGACAATAAATGTCAGTAAACTTCCTGCGAGTATGACATGCACTCATCTTTAAACTTTTAAGGGAGTGAACAAAATCCCCCACATTTTAACAATGTATTGAGCAACTTCATCACCATAAGTTCTATCAACTATTAAGAGTCCACAATGTTATGAGGAACTTCTTAAAAAAATCACATGTTAGATCTAGTTGGTACATGAAACTGTCAGGGTAGTATAAACTGCACCACTCATGTGTGTTGATGTAGTTATATTTTGTCCTATTTCCTGAGAAAAAATTAAAATTTTATGCAATGAAACACCAAAATGAAAAATATAAGGAAACAAACTTACTTAGCTTATCCATGAAAATGATCCCCCTTGTATCAATACAACCAAGAAAGATATTAGAGCTTTGCCAAATGTTCCGACAACAATAAAGTCATCCCAATTGGGGCGGAATTGTATAGTGGTGAAGGGGGCAATTGCACCCCCCCCCCCCTCCCCCCACTCCTAAAAAATTTAAAACTCTTAATATAGTAAGGGTTATTTGTAATATGCCCCCCATTAATTTTATTTTTTGCCCCTAGCCGACTTTTTTTTCACACAATTTGCCTCTTCAAAAATCGGAAAGACCCTTGGCCTACCGCTATTTTCATCCAATTATGTTGAACTTTTCTAACACTAAAAAACAAGTCTGTGAAAAGCGATTATGTGCAAAATAAATTATTTAATTACCTTTATATGAACATGTTATTGTAAGGAAGAAGATTATATGAATGATATTTTTGGATTATAATAGTTTCTACTATTTTTTGATGTTCTTGCTCTTACTAGCTACCTTCTTCATGATTCTAATACGGGAAAAGGCAGGTCGGTCCAGCAAGAGCTGGACCAGCAAGGGGCAGAAAGGTCAAGGAATTTCTCCCCCCTTATGAGGCCCATTAAACCTATCATTACATATGTGAGGATAGGAATTAAGAAAGGGATTAATTAGGAAGGATTTCCTAATTGAAAATGATAGATTTGGGGCTTAATTTGGTGGCTGATTTGGAAGGGATTAATTAGGAGATATTTCCTAATTAAAGAGGGCTGATTTGGAGGACATTAATTAGAAGATATTTCCTAATTAAAGATGACAGATTTAAAGGCTGATTTGGGGGGGGAATTGGGGGAGGGCTGTTTTGAGATTTATTGTTTATTGTTTGGTATAAGTAGTAGTGTTTATGTTATGTTTTATATGCAGAATTTGATTTAAGATTGTTGTAGTTTTCTTTTTGTGAGGGATCCTAGCGGCATCTAGGGTTTGAGAGAGATGGTCCTCTCAAAAGATGACCATTGTATCTTGCTTTATTTATATTTGATTTTCTATCAATAAAAATTTATTTTTGTTGAATCTCTTGGAGTTTGTTATTATTTTTATACCAAGGCGCATAAGATTCCTCCCTACATTAGTTGGTATCAGAGCTGACTTTGGCCCTTAACGTCGATTGGGTTTTCGAAGCTTTGGGCAGATCATGGATAAAGATAGGATGTCGACAACATTCTAAGCCTCCACTAGCCGGCAACCATACTGGTGATTTGACCTCCATCAACCAACAACCATATCGACAAATCCACCTTCGCTTCAACCCTTACCCATTTGTCTCATGCCCGTTAGCACACATTCTTCCACCAACTACGCCCGTTCGCGATAGCAGGCATTGGCCGACCCCATTCTTTCCTGACCCCATGACTTGCAGCACAATCCCGATCCCGTACATTTACTCCCATGTCATGCAGGATTCCGACCAGAGATCTCGCGTGCTTTCACGCGACACTAGCCCACTTCTGCCAATCTCATACATGATGTACCAGCCCAATCTCATGCACGAAACTCGAGTATTGCGTGCAAGAAAAAGAGCTCACATTGCCATCCTTAGTTAGTTTGTTCGTTATCTCGTTCATAGAATTTAACACTCCGCATTGTCTGCTCGGGGTTCCCATTTCCTTCCACTAGAGAATCTTATTGTCAGCTTCATGTTTCACATGGTCGATCATACATGCGTGCACGATCCTCCCACGCACGAATTCTTTCATACAAGAGGAGAATGATAGATAGCAAATTAGTTAAAATAGGCCTTAGAAGTAATTCATTGTTTAAAATTACGCAATATGAGCTTTCCTTAAGCCCACCTCAACTTAATTCCAATTAAAAATGCCTCGAGGCTTATGCCTCAAGCTATTTTTATGAGGCTTACACCTCATCTTGGATGAGGCCCGCCTTGAGGCTCGCCTCGCCTCGTTGGCACGGGGCGTATGGCTCACTCTATTTATATTTTTTTAATTTAAAACTTAAATCCTATACAAAAACCCCAAAAAAATCATGTCTTCTTACACCTCTAAGCCATAATAACTTCCTCTCAATTGTCTCGACCTCCATCCCACAGCCCTCACCGTAGCCATCACCATCGTAGCCGCCATAGCGAATATCTAGAAAGCCGCACACAACCATCATCTCCTCTTAAAATTTTGGAGTATTATCTTTATGTTGATGACAAACATTTATGAAAGATGAAGAAGATTGAAATAAACGAAGAAGAAGCAGATTGAGAGATATGAGACCCTACAGGATGAGGCAGAGAAGAGATCAATTTGCTATGACAGTGACTCAAATAAAAATCCCCTTAGTAATTATAGTATATATGATTTATGAGTTGCCAATTATTTTACCTTTCTTTAGAAATTAAACGTAGATAAGTAGGCAACTGAAAAAGAAAAAGTTAGAGTTGAACTTGGTATTATATGATTTTTTTTATAAAATTCATATATTTATGTCATTTTGTTCCAGTAATATTTGAATTTTAATTCTATTTCACATAATTTATAGCTTAACACTTATATCTTATACAGTTTTTTATTTCATATGTATATAAATTTGTTACTTCATAATTCAATCATTGTTTAAAATTGCACAATATGAGGCTAGCCTTAAGACCCGCCTTTCCGCATTCCAGTGAAAAATGCCTCGAGGCTTACGCCTCGAATTTCAATGATGACAATATAGATGATTTTCTAGTTGTTTCCAACTTTTTAGCCTTTTTTAGAAATTTAATGTAGATGAGTAGAGAACTGAAAAAGAAAAAAATTTGAAGTTGAACTTAATGTTATATGATACTTTTATGCAGTTTTAATATTTAATAATTTTTTGCTAATGAAATATTTATATTTCATGCAATTTTTTACTAACCATTTTACGTTTTGTGTAATTTTTTTTTTCATATGTTATTACGTTACTTTATAGTTCAATAGAAAAATAATATGTCATATTTTAACATATTATTTGGGTATTATATAAAAATTTACTTTTAATATTTATTTGCACTCAACGTAATTTTTGTATTTTGAGGCGCACGCCTCAAGGCTTACGCCTCGCCTCAATATCTAATTACGCAATTTTAAACATTGAGTTTGATAAAAAGTTAATATGTCATCCTTTAACACATTATTTGGTTATTATATAAAAATTTACTTTTAACTTTTATTTTGACTTTACGCAATTTTTAAATTTTCAGGCTTATACCTCAAAACACCTCAAGGCTTACGTCTCGCCTAACAAATAAAAAATGCATCAATACCCAATTGCGCAATTTTAGACTGTGGAGTAATTTACCTATTTTATACCTGTTTTCTAGAGTTTTCTAAAAAATTTTATTAATATCTTATACATAATATTCTAGGAGGTATAAAAGAGAATATATGTGTTGTAAATTTGGACCCAAGTCTTGAGATTTTGAAGATAGCATATATTATTGGATTTTTTTATTATGTTATCTCCTGATAATTGAGTTTATTATATATCTGTTTTGACCTGCTCACTTGCAACTTCGATTAGCTCAAGATTAGGTAGATTAAGATTAAAGTTTGTTTTTTAATCTTTATGTACTTTTTATCTTTCTTGAGTCAATTATATAGTTTGGTGGATCCTAAAGCTGAGTAACCTTGTACACACACATTCAAGGTAGTGAGTTAGTGAGTTAGGAAGAAGATAAATTTTTCAAACGAATCGTATTGTACGATTTACTATCAGTTAACAAAAAAATCATTAATTATGAATTTTTTGTTAATTGAAATTGATTAAACAAATCGTACTGGACAATTCTTATCATATAGGACGATAAATTATAATCATGAAAACAGCCGCCAATTATAATTTAGGAAATATTTTAATATTCAAATTTTATTCCAATCATACCGTACGATATGCATCGTGCTATATGATATATGACAATCATGCCCAAAATGATCCAGTGATTAAGGGAACAATTATGATAAATTTGTTCGACCAAATCGTATATAATGATTGGTAACGATCGTACTGTATGACTCGAGCACTACATGGGACGATGATTTATCGTCGCCTATCGTATTGGACGATCAGTACAAACTCTTGAAATGATCGTACAGGATAATGCAGTTCGTACTGTCTAAAAGAGATATTTTGTACTAATCGTACAGGACAATCGCGGGATCATACTAGACGGTCTTAAATAATAGATTTAAATTTAGGGCTTTTTGAGAGGCTCTCTATTTAAACTCTCACTTAGACTTGTTTAATAGCTTTTTAGTCGTTAAGTGTCTTGAAAGGGAGCATAGAGAAGGAGTTTAGGATAGCTTTGGGAGAGAAGAGAGGAAGAGCTTTTTGTGAGGGAGAGTTGTGAGGGATTCAAAAGGTTACTCCAAGAAAGGTTCTTACCTGTCTTCTTCAAGTCTCTACCTTGATTCTTTGATGGCTCTAGGGAGACATTCTACATCCCTAGGCCACGATTCTCTGCCATCACTTGGATGATGAAAAAGGATTCAAGGTACTCTGCCTGCTCCTGGAAGGAGAAAAAGCTTCGATGTACGCTTCCTTCGCCAGAACGGTGAAAAAGGATTGCAGGTTCTCTGCCTCATTAGGAGGGTGAAAAGAGAAAGATCCTATGCTGCATCAGGTTGGTGGTAGAGATTTTGTAAAGGTTTCTTCACCTAACTGTCGGGGCTAAAGGAGAGTCACTAAACATTTAATGCAATACTCAGAGGACTCAATGGAGTAGGCATAGGTCATTGTTTGACCGAACTACTATAAATTCTGGTGTGTTTGTTATTATTATTTTCCGCACTTTATTTTTCTGTGATTAACTGTGGTTGAAAACTCTAATCTTTTTATTATTGTGAAATTAATTCGCTTGCACATCAAGTGGTAAATTGTCTGTTTTCAAATATTGAAAACTAATAAAAAGATTTTCTTTTTGTTAAAATAAATTTTAAATTACCAATTCTCCCACCCCTTCTTGATTAGTCTCAAGCTGGTTCTTTGAGGTTTAACGACCTTCACGAACATTTAATATGAATGATATTTTTGGGATTTAACAGTTTTATTGTTCTTTCGGTGTTCTTGCTCTTATGAGCAATTACTTGTGATGATTATTCAATGATCTCCCTACATCAAATCCCCAATAGACAAGCATTGCAGTGGAAGAATCAAAATTTTAAATGACAGGGGCAGAAATAGTTTATTCCAAATTTAGAGATCTAAATTTGCATAAGTATTTAAAGGTAAAGCTTCCATACAATACATAATTATATCAGACTTTTCTTAAATCTAGGGGCAAGAGCCACCCCAACCTCTCTCTAGTTCAACACTAACCCACAGTTATTTTCCAATTCACAAGTATTTCCAATTCATAAAATCAACATATTAGCTATCTACCTGAAGATCCAAAACATTAAGACGACCAAAGCTTTCAAAATCTGTATATCCATCAGAGGTCCTCAAAGCCTGGTCACCACCGCTACAGAAAGCCTTGGTTCCCTACTGAAAATAACAGTTTCTAACAAAACAAGCAAAATATAAATGCGAACTTGAACTCAAATCCTATGCAATTGCAACACACTGGAATAACATAAACTACCTTCCCTGTCAAAATGATAGCTCCTATGGAGCTATCATCCCTTGCATCACTAAATGCTCTCATAAGCTCTTTAATTGTATGCGGCCCGAAAGCGTTCCTTCTCTCTGGACGATTAATCGTAATCTGCACGCTCGAAATAAAAGCTAATATAAATTTGGCATTTAGAGAAGAGCATCATCTAATCAACAATGCGGTGTTTTTACCTTAGCGATTCCCTCTCCCACGGATTTCTCGTAGTGAATATCGGTGAACTCCTTCCCTGACTCATCTAAAGCGGGCCTCCACACCGCTGGTTCTTTGGAGACCTCGCCGTGGATGCGCCGGTAGCTGTCCTCCGCCGACGCGGGCGAGGAGCTAATCTGACGGCATTCGGAAAGAATAGAAGATTTTGGAAAGAGGTGATTGTTGAGGCTTGCGATTCTTCTCTCAATGGTTTTGAGCTCCTTCATCGAATAGTCCTCCACCATGAGATAAGAAATCTGAAGCAAAAAAAAGAGCTAAAAGTTTGAATTTGCCTTCTGAAAGAACAGAGCCGTCATCGTTTTGATTGGGTAACGGATTAGTACTGATAAGGTTACCGATTTTTTTAATTTATATGGACAAGATTTTTTTATTTTATTTTATTTTCCTTAAACAAGACAGAGTCCAGTACCTAACTCGAGCTCGTCTCATCAGTACCTAACTGGTTTTAAAAAATCTGCAGTTTGAACTATCATATTTTATAATTATCAAATTTAATAAATAATAATAGTAGTGTTTCGAGCCAGCTCGCGAGCACAGGTGTCGAACCTCATCAAGTTAGAACTCGAGCTCATTTAATAAATGAGCTTGAGTTTGAACTCGAGCTTGTAGCTTGATAAGCTCAGCTCGTAACGAATCGTGCTCGAGCCAGCTTGCGAGCCGACTCGGCTCACTTACACCCCTAGTTGAGTGTCACATCCTAATTTTGATGGAGATAAATTTAAATATGTAATCTTAATAATAATGTTTAAGAAATTCATATAAATAAATCTCTTCTCATGTTAGAGGGTGTGTTATAATCATCAATGATATAAAAATATTTAGTTTATGACAAATAAATGATATAAATTTAAAATGTAAATCTATCAAGGGTGAAGTCACATAGGGGTGTAAACAAGTCGAGCCAAGTTAGAGTCACTCATGATTTGAGCTTCATTAAGGCTTAGTTTGAGACGACTTTAATAATGCTTTAAGAAAGCAGTAAGAATACTACTTCAAATCAATGCTAACTCAAGCTTCACTAGTTTGTTCATCGAGTTCGACTCACGAGCCATTTATCTTGCCAAGCCCGAGCTAACTCATGAATCAACTTGACTCACTTACATCCCTAATCACACCTAAAATTAGTATCATAGGATTAAAATAGACCGCAAAATAAGTACCTAACCATTGAATGAAATATGAAAAGTAAAAAAAAAAGTGTGGTCATACCCAATTGAACTCACATCTAATATGCAAATGTGAGAATATTTAGATAGTGTAACTACAAATACACATTTTTCAGCTCATCTTCCTAATAATTTGTAAGAATGCTCATTATGATAATGTAAATGTTTTTTCTTGTATTAATAACCTTGTCAATTATGTGTTACCATGGGGACATGATGGGATAAAAAAGAAACCCAAACAAGTGCTCCAAAACAAGTTGGAGTACAATAGAAACTTTAGGGAAAAATAAACTTTCAAAGACACATAGCAAAGAAACAAACAAACTACTTTCAATTTCAAATAAAAAAGATAACTTATAACTTGTAATAGAACTATAGACACAACACAACTTATAGAATTTTTGGGATGAACGATACAAATGGAGTGGTAAATTGTGGAGAGAAGAAAGAGATTAGAAGTCCAAGACAAAATTTTAGAAGAGAGTAGGTAAAAGACAATAGCTTGCAAGCTATTCGAAACCCACATGTTTCACTTTCCAAAAATCATTACATTTTTTCTCTATAAAACTGCCATAAATAGCCCCATAAATAGGGAAAGGAAACCAGCAATCTCACAAAGCAGCCACCCAAAATAGCCAACCAAAACAGAGGGAGAAAACCCAAGGAAAAAAGGCACGTCCAACCTAAGAACCGAACGGACAAGTAGCCCAACAGCAAGCAAGAACCGAAACAGCCAGAAACCGAACAGACACCAAGAAAAAAGGGAAGGCCATCCCAAGCATCCAGTTGCATAGAACAACTAACAAGGAGTCACGACAACCCAAAAAAAAATCCAAGGCTAAGAACTCCAAACACCAAACATTAAGGGTTAATGGGCAAAGCCCAATAAGAGACAAAACAGCCCACCATTAAATGCCCACTTTTTCCTACATCAATTATCCCTCGGTGAAGAAATCTTATCTCCTTATGAGATAGATTCTAAACTTCCATCAAGTGCAGACTGAGCCAAATCCAACTCCTGAATCAAAGCAGTATACTTCTTTTAGATCATATCTTTTTCTCGGTTAAACTCGATTCAAAGTAAATGCTTATTACTCTCACATTTTTTTTGTACAAAAACACATTTTATCTTGAATTTTATAAAGCTCGTTCTTGAGTGGATCATTTGAACATCCTTGAGTTGAAACCCAATTCATGACATAAATTTTTTTTTTCTTGAATCCAAGGCATTTGACTTTCATCAACAACATATTCTATATCATTTTGACTTTCCATTTTTTTAATAAAAAAAGACACACATGATAACCTAAACGCTCTGATACCAAATTAATGGGATCAAAAGAGACTTAAACCAAGGGAGAACACTTAAGAGAAACATAACACAACTCAATCCAAAATTAAGTGAACAAACCACCAACAAAAATCCAACCAGATGCAAAAACTTAAACATCTTTAAGAAACAACAATACTTAAATTAAAGAGAAATACCCTCAAAACAACCAACAAGTGGTCACCTCACATGTAACAATAAAATAGGAAATTATAGTGCTCTTAAGAACATGCAAACCAGATGTCCACCATAGCAATCCGGATACAACACCCCTCACAACTCCTCCGGCAAATACCAACAAACTTGCCAACAATAACACCTCTTACACCTTTTGTAGAGAAGAAATATACAATGGGGTGGAAACTTGTGCAGAGAAGAAATAGATAGAAGCCTTGGAGGAAGAAATAGGTAGAAGGGGAAGCTCTCAAGCTTAGGAAAAAGCACTCAAGTTTTTAGAGACAAATATCAAGCTTCAACAACCTTTCAATAGCAAAAAAAATCACCTATAAATAAGGAAAAGGAGCCCAAAAGACACCCAAAGCAGGTGCCTTCTTCAGCCAACCAAAATAGGGGAAAACCCAAGAGGAAAGGCATAGCGGAACCACAAACCGAACAGCCTGAATCGGAACAGGCAGGAGCTAAACATACACCAAGAAAGGAGCTCGACAACACATGAACCCAACATTCAATGCTAAAAAAGATTGCCCCCAATCAGCCACAGTCCTCCAAACACCAAACAGCCAAAGAACCTTGGGCCAAGCCCATTTAGATGAATTTCAGCCTAACAATAATTACCTAATACCTAATGAACTAAGGAAGCTATCAAACCAAAGGTGGACAAGACCACCCAAGAGCACTCTACCTACACATGATCATTGATTGCCTTCCATCATTGGGGATAAAATAAAATATAAAATTCACATTACAATAGAGTTCAAAATAAAATGAAATGAAATGAAGTTTATTGCATGCATCAATTCTTTCTTGGTGGAAGAATCTCAACTCCTGATGAGAATACTTCATTAATTCATTGATAGAAATCAGGATAACGAAGCTGCAACTCCTCATCTTCAATAGTCAATCAGGGGGGCGTCCATTCCATCCAAAGAGTCGTTGGTGCACTCTATATTTTGCTTGGGTTGTACAGATATCCACAGCATCATTAGAAATAGTAAGGGGCAAAGTCTTACACAACTGTTTGTTTTAACAGCACCTTTACTTGGCGCAGCTAGATTCATTAATTCAAGTTATTTATCCCTTATAAGTTACATGTTCTCTTCAATATTTTGATGAGATATAAAGGCTTTATCAATACCTTCCTCCGTGGTCGTTGTTCTCATTTGTCGTTCTTTTGACTACCTCACCTTCTCTTCTTCTATGTTTACTTCATTTAGCGGCATTTTGCAACAAACAAATTGGTCAACATTCTACAATGTCACTTCATTAGATCAACCTTCAAGAATAGCAATTTCTCCATTGTTCCTTTCATGGTCTTGCACCTCTTTTTTAGTCGGTGTATGCACTTCTCTCGTTCTTTTAATACATTGTTCCTCACACGCTACCAACCTATCCACAAATTCAACTTTGTCTACTGTTTGAGTCTCAAATTTATCCATAATATTTTTGACTAGATAAATGGTAAACTTACCATCTTGAAGGGCATTACTTGGCTGCATTTCTTCTTCTTCTTTTTTAGGATGTTTCTTCGTAGGAGGAAAACATGACAACTTATTGGATCCCTCATTTGTTTCAAAATAGGTTTGCCTTTTGGACTTAGTGTAGCCAAGGTATTAGTCACTGATTTCATTTGTTGTTGTAGGTTAACCATTTGTTACATAAACATGCATTATCATTCAGCTTGCTGATTATCCATACTTTATAAAGAAGAATGGAAGACTAGAACGACAACCAAGGGCTCTGATACCAAATTAATGGGATCAAAATAGACTTAAATCAAGGGAGAACACTTAAGAGAAACATAACACAACTCAATCCAAAACTAAGTGAACAAACCACTAACAAAATCCAACCATATGCAAAAACTTAAATAGCTTTAGGAAATAACAAAACTTTAACTAAAGAGAAATATCCTAAGAACAACCAACAAGTGGCCACCTCACATGTAACGATAAAATAGGGAATTGGAATGCTCTTAAGAACATGCAAACTAGAGGTCCACCCAGCAATCCAGATCCAACACCCCTCGCAACTCCTCCGATAAATACCAACAAACTGGCCAACAATAAAACCTCTTACACATTTTGTAGAGAAGAAAGATACAATGGGATAAAAACTTGTGGAGAAGAAGAAATATATAGAAGCCTTGGTGGAAGAAATAGGTAGAAGGAGAAGCTCTCAAGCTTAGGAAGAAACCCTCAGGTTTTTAGAGACAAATATCAAGCTTCAATAATCTTTCAACAACAGAAACATCACCTATAAATAGGAAAAGGAGCCTGAAATACACCCAAAGCAACCACCCCATTCAGCCAACCAGAACAGGAGAAACCCCCAAGAGGAAAGGCACAGTAGCACCACAAATTGAACAACCTGAATCAGAACAGTCAAGAGCCAAACAGACACCAAGAAAGGAGCCCGGCAACACATGAATCCAGCATTCAATGCTAAAAAAAGATAGCCCCCAATCAACCATAATCCTCTAAACACCAAACAACAAAAGAACCTTGGGCCAAGCCCATTTAGATGAATTTCAGCCCAACAATAATTACCCAAGGAACCAATGAAGCTAGCAAACCAAAGGTGGACATGACCCAAGAACACTCTACCCACACATGATCATTGATTGCCTTCCATTATTAGGGATAAAATAAAATATAAAATTCACATTACAATAGAGGTCAAAAATAAAATAAAATGAACATAAAATGAAGTTTATTACAAGCATCAATGAATGCGCGGACAGAGCCAAATCCAACTCCTGAATCAAACCAGTGTACTTCTCTTCGATCATCTCCTTTTCTTGATTAAACTTGGCTAGAAGTAAATGTTCTTACTCTTATATTTTTTTGCTCAAAATCACATTTTATCTTGAATTTTGTAAAGCTCGTTCTGGAGTGGATCGGTTGAACATCCTTGAGTTGGAACCCAATTCGTGACATAAAATCTTTTTTCTTGAATCCAAGGCATTTGACTTTCATCAACAACATATTCTATATCATTTTGACTTTCTATTTTTTTATAAAAAAATTCACACACATACGATAAATTAGAAGCTGTAATACCAAATTGATGGGATAAAAAAGAAACCTAAACAAGTGCTCTAAAACAAGTTGGAGAACATTAGACACTTTAGGGAAAAAGAAACTTTCAAAGGCACATAGCAAAGAAACAAAAAAACTACTTTCGACTTCAAATAAAAAAATAACTTACAACTTGCAATAGAACTATAAACACAACACAACTTATAGAATTTTTAAGAAGAAGGATACAAATGAAGTAGTAACTTGTGGAGAAAAGAAAGAGATTAGAAGTCCAAGATGAAATCTTATGAGAGGATGAAACATCAGTTTCCTAGTTTTCACCTTTAGGACAAGGAGATTCTTTGGGAGTGGGGTATTGTTGCGGGGGTTAATAACCCTGCACAAAACAAACCGGCCCAGGAGGAGCCAATTTTTTTTATAGGAGGCGAACTAAGCCACCTCCTTAAGTCCGCCTGAAGTGATTAGGCCCCTTGGGCGGCAGAGAGAGAGAGAGAGAGAGAGAGAGAGAGAGAGAGAGAGAGAGAGAGAGAGCAGCTAATGTATAAAGGAATTTGAATTTTGGTTTATGTTAAGAAGCTTTTTATTAGGAGAATTTTTTTTTTAAGGAGAAATTATATTTCAAGAATATGAAAGGCTGGGGTTAGGGCATGCATGATTTGAGTTATTCTCTTAGAGTTCTCTTAGGGTTTTGGGCTCTAGATTAATCATCTAGAGATCGGGAGAGAACGATCCTCCTCTCGAATTGAGGATCAATTGTATCTTTATTCCATTATTATTTCGCTTAGCTTTTCGTATTGCAATCTATCATTTGTGTTATTTTCTCCCATATTTTGTGCTGTTCTCGTTGTTTTTCACCAAATCGTGGTAGGTTTGCATGCGAACTCAAGGATTTCCTATCAATATTCAACCATATACACTTTCAAATTCATTTTCTTTCTTTCCTTTACATATGTTTAAATCAATATGTACTCCATTCACGTATTCATATGCATATCCATGCTATCATACTATTTGACATACATTTCTTTTGTCATATTTATTTAAATGTCCATTGTTCATCATCACATATGCATTTGAATTAACATTGTCTTACACATAATAACATCCAAAAGTAAGAAAAATAATTATATAAAACATTACTTTAGAATTTAAATGGAAATATAACAATAAAATTTTGATACACGACTGTAATTACCTACTTTATTTTTCTTCGTTCTTTAATTTCTTTCCAAATCTTGAGCTTGATATAGACTTCAAATTACTCTTCTCAGTTCACTTATGAAAAATCTTTCACTGTTAAAAATTACATAATAATGTCTTAATTAATACTAAATATGGATGCCTTAAATATTATCATAAACAAACATTAAATTTCCTCTACATTTTATTGCACTCTCTATTTTATAATATAAAAACTACCCACAAAAATTTTCCTTCCTTGCAAATCTCCTTCCTTCATTGTCGAACCAAAGTTTACAAAACTCACTTCACTTGGATTTATCGTATCCACAATAATATTTTCCTTCAATTAGGAAAGAAAAAAACAAACTTATGTAAATTTCAATAATTTAAATTACTTATTCCTTTCTCTGCCATCAGAAATAGAATAAAACTTAAAATCTGTATTGCCTTCCTCTTCCAACTTTCTTTTATTCTCAAATTAGATGTCAACCTCAGGTTTTAATTCTACTAGAAACTATAAAGAAGAGGAATAAAAAAAAATAAACAACTTACTTTCTTTCTTCTTCTTTCTCTCAGCCGCTTCTCTCGACAGAAACCTTCACATATGATTTGCTCCTGCCAGATTGAGCGAATAGAAGCTATGACTCACAAGGAGTCGTTGCTTTTCATTCACATACACAAATATTCGCTCATAATTGTGAATCAAGCCCTCCAGCCTTGGTCCGTGCTCTTGCGGGGTCCAACTGGGTGGCAGCTGCCTATTCCACTTGCTTCCATTTCATCTGTTGTTAAGAGATGTCATGTTCAAATGAACCGGATAGGTCCGGTTCTTACACATATTGTCTCATGCAAAGTCAATTGCAATATAACATGCATATATTGTTGAATGAAATAAAGCATTGAAGCTACACGTAAGTAGTTTTAAAAGATGTGATTTGTATGTTTTCTAATGTATGAGTTCTTTCTAAATGTTGTTTGTGTAGGTTATTTTCGCATTTGTTGTATCATTGTGCACTCTAATGTAGCAAAATTCTTTAAAAGATGTTTCATTGGCTTTGTGTGTTTTGGAATGTCATGAGGTAGTATGTTATAATGCTTTATTTTTCGCATCATCCTTGTAAAGATAAGATTGCCTTACATTAGTATACTTAAATATGTTGCAACAACATTTACTAATTATTTTGGGGGTTTACATGTAGATATATCATAACAGCCACCTCTTGGTATACTGAAAATTCTATAATCTTGATTAATAGTCACATTTATTCTTACACATTATGTCTATTGCAGGTCACTTGATCATGTAGCTCTCCATTCATAAATAAAGCCCCAAAAGAAAAAAACACATTAACAAAAATTGAACAATATATGGATTGCATCAACATACTTCAAAAAAAAATTCTTTTATATAGAATCATAAAATATTGAATATTTACGTACTATAAAATCCAAACGGATTACATTCCAAAAAAATTATGTGCGTAGTACAAAACCCAAAAGGATTACATTCAAAAAAGAATAAGTTGATAGTGGAATCCATGAAATAAGACAAGTGGAGATATTTTGCCTATTATATTGCATATTGTATAGCACCCAAAACCCAAAAGGATTACATTCCAAAAAGGAAAAAAGAATCAAGGGCCAGTAAGAAGAATAATAAAAAGAAAATGCTCAAATTACAGTAGAAGTCATGAAATAAGACGTGCAGAAGTTTTCTACTTATATCTATATATGAATCCCATTAGTAATTGTTGTTGTGCGGTTTAGTTCTAGATCATCCAAACATGTCACATCATTATCATAGGAAACATACATAGTATATTTGTAGCAAATGATTTTATGCATTTCATGTTTATTTGAAACATACATGAAGAATAAAACTAATCAAATCTCATTAAATGCACATCTGTCACTAGAGAAGAAGATCATCGCAAATGCTTTGAGAAAAATAACTTCTTCAACTAAAATCACAAAGACAAAAGTACCATGAGGGTAAATGAGAATAAAGGGGACTAATAGGGGGGAGCTTAAGTAATCCCTAACGAGTAGCAAATGGCTAACCCAAATAAAAAAAAATCAAAATAGGCACATGGAAGGCGATTTCCGCCATGTGGCAGTGAAATCGCCAGTTGGATGATGATTTTGGCCACATGCCTAATAAAATCGCCACGTGGTGAGCAACTAAGCTTGTTTTTCAAATCAAAGTTTTTCCCTCCCATATTTTTTTTTTAAATTTAAATTTCAGCCAGTACTGTCTTTTACTGCACGTAAAAAATTACAACCATTTTCATCTAGATGATATTGATTTTTAACACTTTTATCCAAAAAAAAAAAAGAAAGCAAGATTCACATCTCATTAAAAATAGATATTTTTTTCTATTAAAGTTAAACAGAAATAAAACAATGGTTGGTTGTAGTATAACCAACCGCTAATATATCACATTTCCAGGATGATAAACTCAATGGCAATAGCAAGAATAAACATTATTCTCAACAGCTCAAAGTCAGGCTAGTCTAGATCTCAATTGCACAAATTGCTGTGCTTCATCAGTGCGACCAACTCGAGTAAGAAGGCCAATCATGCAATCAAATTGCTCCTTACTTGCATTCAGTTTATACTTCTGAATCATGGCTTCAAACACCTTAAGAGCCTCATTAGCCAATCCTGCTTCATCACATACAGAGAAGACAACATCAAATGTAAAATGATTTGGACTGTAACCATCTGAAAGCATACGATCAAACATATTCATTGCTTCCCTAAACAGCTTATTATGACTATATGCTTCTATTATTGCAGTCCAAGTCAAGGATCCTTTGGCCTGAACATGATCAAACAACTTTTGAGCCATCTTAATGTCTCTGCACTTCCCATATAAGCTCACAATCTCTCCAACAAGTAATGGAATCATTTCCATTTTCAGCTTATAAGCTTGCGCATGTATCTCCTTTCCAAGCTTTAAAGCTTCCAATTCACCACAGGCTCTCAAAATCCTGCATAGAATTACAGCGTCTGGGCGTCGATTGGCTGTCACCATTGATCTAAATACCTTAAGAGCACAAGTTGGGCTGCTACTTCTCAAGTATGATTCAATTAGTGCAGTCCAAGCAATGACATTCTTCCATTGCATTCCATCGAAAACTCTGCAACAAGAAGCTATCCTTCCACATTCTGAGTACATGGTTATGAGGGAAGTTTCTACGGAAACATTTGGCAGAAATCCGTGCTTAAGAGAATAGCCATGAATCTCCTGGCCTTGTCTCCAAGTCTTCAACCTGGCACAAACAGGAAGGACCGTCGCAATAGTGACAACATCTGGCTTTATCCCTTCTTGCTGCATCCAAACAATTGTCCTTAGTGCCTGGTCTAACCTATTGTTCGATGCGTATCCAGACATTAAAGCTGTCCAACACACTTCATTCCTTTCAGATGAGGCATAAAAGACCTTCCTTGCTGAGCTCATATCCTTGCATTTACAGTACATGTCTATCAATCCTGAATGAATCGAAACCATCTTCACATAGTTTCTGAATCGCTTTAAAACATAGCAATGAACCTCCCTGCCCAAATCCCGCTTCGAAAGCTCTCCGATTATTGGAAGAACTGACGTTATCACAACTGAATTCGGCTCTATTCCTTCACTTACCATCCACCTGAAACATTCCAATGCTTCCCAACGAAGTTTCTTGTGTGCAAAGCCTGCAATTGCAGTTCCCCACGAAACAATATCCTTTTCAGGAATTTCATCAAACATCCTCATAGCCATCCCGATCCTGCTGCACTTGAAGTACATGTCGACCAAGCCTGTCTTTATAAGCAAAGGGGAGCCAGCAAACGCATTCTTAACCAAAAGAGCATGGGCTTTCATCCCTTCTCTTAGTGCTGGTGAACCAGCAAAACTCTTTAGGAGAGAAGAAAAAGTATACTCATTAGCCTCCACTCCAGCCTCTCTCAAGGCTAAGAAGATGGAAAGCGGACCATGGCCCCACCTTGATCCGCCGGTGAGATTCCCTCTTAGGAGAGCATTCCAGGGGTAGACTGTCGATGGGGAAAGCTCGGAAAAGACGAGCTTGGCATGCTTCGGCGAGCCACAGGCAGCGTAGGCCTCGACGAGTTTGGTAAGGAGGAATTCATTGCGCTGGAGGCCGTTGATGCGGAGGTGGACATGGATTTGGCGGGTTAATGACAGAGATTTGAGTTGGGAGGCAGCAGAGAGGAGGGCGGAGAAGGTGGTGGGATTGATAGGAATGCCTCGGTGATCGAGGTAATCGAGAACTGTTAGGACCTCGCGAAGTTTGCCTTCGCGGGCAAGGCGTTGAATGTCGCGGTAGATGGATTTGGGATTTTTTGAGTGGAGTGGGAGGGAATCAGGGAAGGCAGCACGCTCAGGGAAGTGGCGGCGGCGTCTGACCGCGGGGTGGGATGGTGGAGCTGGTGTCGTGGCGGTTTCTGAATGCAAAGAGGAGGATTTGGTGAAAGATGGAGTTTTGGAGGAGAAAGGAGAAGGGATTGAGGAAGTGGAGGTTGAGATGAGGAAGGTTTTAGGGTCCATGGAGGCGGAATTGAAATGGACAGGGAGAGGTGTATTGGAGAAAGGAGCATCGGTCGAATTTCTTTTATGGCGGTTTTATAAAGGAGGTGCTCTTGAGAACGCATACTTGAATCTAAGCGGAGAAGAAATATCTGCGATGGTGAAGAAGATGAACTCCATTTTGACTTCTCAGAATCCTAAATAATGGTTAGCGTTTCTGGGCAAATTATTAGGTCCGACATATCTCTGCGGATGCCAATAAAAAGTGAACATATGGCTGAATAAACATGAATTTTTTTAACATAATATTTTTGTTTTATGTCTTGTCAGCCCGATCAACCCGACCCAGTAACCCGTAGATGGTTTGAATTCAAGACTACAAGAATGGAAATGAAATGTTTTTAATTTTCACTCGACATTTTCACTGTTCTGTTACTCTCGGCTCTCTACTCTCGGACTTCTGCAATACCTTTTGTTCTGCAATACCTTAAACCTGGCGGTAGACGACGACATTGGAGTTCGTCAGCATTTAGAAAAGGCAATGTTGCGCATATGTTGCGCTTTTAGTGCGTTTATGTTATATTTTAAATTTTAGGGTTTAGTGTTAATTTTATACATGACATTGTTTGTTCAATGTGATCTTAAAATGTTAATAATTTAGTAGATTTCAATCTACTTCGTAAATGAAAGAAACAAATGATGCGAAAGGTTTAGTTGCGCTTTCGTTGCGCTTTATCTAAAATATTTTTTTTTCTTTTTTCCAGATGTCGTATCAAAGGTCAGTTACTTCACGATGCTATGTTACCACTTTCAGAAAAATTTGTGATACTTTTGTCAAGTTAATTGATGATGAACTTGAGCAGACTTTAAGGAATTTGAACATTCATCAGTTTTTGAAGTTTCCAGCATTCCAACAGTATATACCACTTCTTTTTGAGATTTTGGAATTCTGCTGATAAAGGATTCAATATGAATGGCCATTTACTTAAATTCAATTCTGACGATGTTGCTTTGTTGACAGGTAAGATTTTGAATAACAAATTATGGATATATTTTTTTACTTTAAATGTAACATGTACATGTACAAAAATTTTCTCACATGTATGCCTAATAGAGGTGATGATATCAAATGGATGATCGATCCCCTAACTGGACATCTATCAACAGAAATAAAAACCAAAATGACAAAATTAGATAGATTGACTGATAATGCTACTAAGTTAAAGATCTTTATAATATTTTTGTTATCTAATCTTTTTTTCCACTAAATAACCTTAAAACCCCTAAAAAAGCTCATATCTGTAGCAAATAATGTAACTGAGTTCACCTCTATCAATTGGGCTTCATGTATAAGAAATTTCATGATCGAGGAATTTGATATAATTTCTGACAAGTTTAAAATGCAAAGACCATCAGGTTACATCAATGATTTTTTTCCTCTCATACTGGTAAAGTCTATTCTACTGGTTGTTATTCTCTCTTAAAGTTTTTTAATGTTAATTTATAATGTTTTATGTTTGATATTATACATATTTGATTTTTGGAATACTTTTCCTTGAATAAACTATCTGATACAGAATTAAGACCATGTTTTTTGAGATGGGAGGGGAATACTAAAATGTTCTATACACAAGAAAGTGCTACCAAATTATTTAAATTTTTGAGGTAAAATGAGGTAATTTTTAAGTCTAAATGTTTTATATTTAGAGTTACGCTTTAAGTGTGCTATAGTTGCGCTATAGTTGCACTTTAAGCCCAACTATAGCGCACTTAAAGAGCAACTTTAGCGCACGTAAAGTGCAACTATAGCACATTTAAAGCGCAACGATAGCGCACGTAAAGAACAAATATAGCACACTTAAAGCGCACTTATAGCGCACAATCAGATATTTTCCTATAATATATTTAAATTTTTTTGCATTTATATCTTGTTGTACAAAATGTTACAAGCGAAGAAGTAAAAAAGTTCAGAGCTGACATAAATGCTATACAAAATCTAGAAAATCGGTGAGGGCATCAACCCCACAAAATTCATTCACCATAATGAAAAAAATTTCACACCACCCCACCTCCCTCTCCTCATCAAGAACCATCTGAAATTTTTCCTCAATCGTATGCTCAACCTTCTACACAACCTTCTACTAAACCACCTCTTGTAAAAACTGAAGATTGGTCGACTGTTCAGCATAAACTTCTGAAAGGATTTCAAAACATGTGCACTAAAATTGAACAAAATTTGGGTATTGATCGACTTGAAGACATTGTGGAAAAACTTCAAGCAACTGTAGATTCTCTACAATACAAATTCGTCGACTTTCAAATGAAATGTGATTATAATACTGAAAAATATTCTATATCTACATCTTACCCGAGTATTCAATCAGTAAAAAAAATCTAGAATTACAGCTTTTCCTCCAATACCACCCACAACAGCTTTTCCTCTAAAACTACCAACAACAGATGTTTCTCCAATACCACCCAAAATAGATGTTCTTTCACCAGCAGCAGCAACAACAGATGTTCCTCCACTACCAGCCACAATAGATGTTCTTCCACCACCAACAGCAACAATAGATGTTCCTCCACCACCAGTCAATACAGATATTTTTCAACCACCAATAGGGAGTTCTTTCAAGCACCTCATCCAATACCAATCACAAAAATCAAAAGAAAAAGAGAAGACAATAAAGAAACTAAAATACCATATGTATTAAGGAAGACCGAAAAAATTATTTGTGTTGATAATATAAAAATTCAACCTTGACATGCATTGCAATATATGGAGTATCGAGGGAAGGATTTTCTAACTACTCAGCAACAAAGTTTTATGAATTAATGTTTCAAATAATTTGATAAAAAGTAAGTTAAGTCATTTGGCTGCGCTTTAAGTGCGCTTTAAATGTGCTTTAAGTGAGCTTTAAGTGCACTTTAAGTGCGCTTTATGTGCACTTTACGTGCACTTTATTAGCACTTTACGTACGCTTTAAGTGTGTTTTACGTATGCTTTCAACATTATTTTGCGCTATAATTTTTTTTCTTTTTAGTAGGGATGATGTAATATTTGCATCTGGTAACATAGAAATAAAAATATCATATATTGACGATCCGCTCACAGATCAATGGTTAGCCGACAACCATGTAGATGCTTTTGCTTGTTTGTTATTAGAGAAGGCTAGGATAATGACAGATAAATTTCAACGCTACTTGTACATTTCTCCATTGTACAGGATAAGTATAATTTTTTATAACCTAATTTTCACATTACTATTCTTATATTGTTGACTTATCGCAGGTATATAAGGGGTACAATCAAGATTTTAAAATGTTTCTCCAACACATTAGTCCAGTTTCTATTAACGAATGCAGTCTTATTATTCAACTCATAATTTTCAATAAGCATTAGGTACTTGTTATAGGCAGGTTGAAAGAGAAAGTTTAAAAATTATATGATTCCTTATCAAATCCATAACACAAAGATATATGTCATATAGTTGTAAGTTAAATCAAGATTTTAAAAGTCTTATTTCTTTTCTCAATATGAACACAAAATTAAATAATAATTTTATTTGTTTAGATAAAATACTTGCATGAATATTCCAAAGGATGCTTTAAAAGAGATATAACTAAATAGAATTTACAACTTGTTCGTGGAATTCCAACTCAGTCAAACAATTTTGATTATGGAATGTTCGTGTATAAATACATAGAGAAAGTCGTTCAATGCAAGAAAGTTGACTGGGCTGCTTATAAAGATTGGCAAAAGTATATGCAAAAATTTAGAACAGAGTTAGCATATTTTCTTTTTCTTACAACGAAGAAGTAAAATTATTGTAACCAAAATTCATCATTTGGTGTATTCAGCACCAAGTTGGCTTGTTGGTTGGCCGATTATATTTTCCTCACTAAAATATTCAGACATGCTTAAAAAGTTCATCTGTGTTGAAGAAGGATCATCCATTATTTTTCTCCCATCAAAGATTTCTTATCTATTAGAAACTACAGCTTTAGTCTTAGGTATGAAATTATATAATTAACATATTATTAAAAACTTACTATTAGGCCGCTTCTTCTTTTCCCAATTGCTTTTTAGTCTTGTATTTAATTTGCCTTTTAGGTCTATGCTTTAGAGGGTCTATCAAATTAGCACTTCCACATTGGGATCTTGCAACATCGTTCTGATTTTTTTCTTTCCACCAAGAATTAAGTATAAATTGTGAATCATGCCATCTATTGAAGAAAGAATATACTCATCTGCCTCCTCATTCCCTTGGGCTTCCGTGCTCATTTGATATACAAATCTGCTCACTTGATTTCTAAATATGAATCCCCTACCATTTTCAAAGTTATTTCTTCTTTGAGAATTAACAAAGTTACCAAAGTAAAAATCTTGTCGAGCCCTTGCTGACCAACGCAGAAGTAGATACTTCTCAGAGAATTTATTCATATTCAACTGTTTAAAAACCCTTAAATAGTGAGAACACAATAATCTCATGGTATCATACTTCCTACAGCTGCATTGAATGTTACCTTCTGTTACATCAAAGTCAACCACCCAAGGATGATGTTGGTCCTTTTTCTCTATGTAGTTGACTAGAAACTTTGAAGAATCAGTCGAGGCAAAGTCTATACTCATTTCTCCCACAACCTATATTAATTCTTCCTCAAAAAATAAATATAATTTTCTTGAGTAAAACTGAGTAGCTTATTTTAATATTGAGCTATTCTTTATCACATGAATAATTTCAGACTGATTGCATTTGTACTCCCCATCCTGCTCATTTCGTCACCAATTCATCAATATCTTTTCCAACCCAAGAAAATAACCAGTTAATGAACTTATTGGCTTCAAAATGCCATGACACATATTATTAGTACACTCGTTACGATGCGTTGATAAAATGCCCAATGGTAAAATAATCCTTGTTGAAAGTTGTTAACCACTTTCTCCTTATCTTATAAAGATCCTGCAACCATTCATGGTTATGAAGGTTTCCTTGATCATTTCTTCCCATGCCTCCTCAAACACTTCCTCAAAATCGAACTATTATTTGGTCCGGTGACTTGATGTATAACTACGTCTTGTCACCAATAATATACCGCCACGTAGCGGGCTCAAAACCGCGGACCCTACCCGTTATGTCACACGTGCGAAATTTAAATCCATGTCGACCCGACAACCTGCCGATCACGATATGGTATTATTTTAAATAA